TGCTATAATAGGTTAATTAATTACAGCCTGGTAATATAGCATTAAGAAAATTCTAGTTACTAATTACTAGTACTAACTGTTCTTTTCTTAGTTAGTAACTACAATTTTTCTATACAAAGGCAGAATCAATTAAATTTATTTATTCTCCTAAATAGCAGTACAGAAATGAAATTAAACAAGCACAAAGATAAAATTTACAAACTTAACATTTATTTAGTTAAACTTAGCTAACATTATCCCTGATAATTCTGCAACTCTTCATTATCTGTTCTCCTTATTCTTCATTTATTCTCTTTCTGTTCTCTTGTGATCACATACCAAATTTTTTGGGAGTGATTTCCCTTAAAGGAATATTTATCTTCCTAATATCTCTGTTGTTATGAACACAAGCCCAAACTCCTAAACTACTGAATTATTTGTGTGTTATATTAAGGTAATCCAACATAAGGTTTATGATAGGCAATTGATTCAGGCTTTGGTTGTGTTGTACATATATTACTGTATACATTCCATGCAAACATGGAGTTTTGCCATATTTTCAGTGGTTAAAATTTTTTAATAAACTTTAAGTGCGTCAACTAGATGTTAATACCTATAAACCAGCAAAATAAAAGAAATAAAATGTAAACAAACATTTTTTTGCATTTATTGGTATTTACATCTAGTTGAGGTTAACTATAATAATTTATACAGTATTTTCATAGAGATTGCATTTATAAGTGCCTTTATAAATAAATATGTAAAACCAGTATATATGAAAAGTAACTGTATATTAAACATTTTTCATATAATGGAAAATGGAGTGGACACAATTTATGTAAACATAAAATGAAAAGAAGAAATTAAAAAATTTCTTCATTATTTAACAATGTAAGTTTATATTAAACATTGTTAAAAATTTTTAGAGGTTTTATGATTTTAACTGAATTATAAACTACTTTGTATATTATTTTTAAATGATAAAATAATAATAATAATTCAAATATTTCTTACAATTTTTAAATGTTTATTTTTCTTTAATATGTTATTAGCTTTAAATCGTTAAAAATGTTTCTACCAAACTAAAATTATAAATGAAATATTATATGTATAACTGTTACAAATTTATATTTGATCATACTAAAATGTTGGCATTAGAAATGATTGCAGCTTATAATTAATCAAAATGGTAAATTTTATAATTATTTAATACTTTTTAAGAGAATTGGCATCATAATCAGAATATATTCAGTTTAAAACTTTTATAACAAAATTAAAAAGTGTAGATGATTTTTAAACATTAAAAAATCTTATAAAATTCTAGATAAAATCTTAAACAGTAATAAAAATTAAATAGTTAATAACTTTATGTACAGATTTTCTTAAGCAGACAAAGAACTTATAAAGTACAGTAAGTCCTCAACTTTGCACAGTTAAATTAATTATCTGAAATAACCAATTGGTGGAGATACATGGAGCCAAGCTGTATCAAACTGTAATGGAGCCAAGAAAATTGAGATCACATCAAAAAGAAAAAAAAACAGATTAATTTTATTGTGGGATACATTTGTCTTCACTAGACTGTCTCCAGTTATTATATAATTACAGATACCTACAACAATTGCAAAAAGCTTATATTCAACATTTAGCTTCAACTTAATATATATATATAAATTTATAAAAGGAAAAAAAGAAACCTGCAATATTTAACTTAATAATTAAATGTGACATGGGTATATACTGCTAACTGTTCTTACATCCACCTGGTTATAATTTCTCTAAATATATCGACAATTCATATAGACAATTCTTCATGTGACTGTGTTAACGGGGTCTGCAATATTAGTTAACAGCAATGAGTGCAAGTTAACAGCTCTTGGTGAGAATTGGTAGCTAGGATTCACTCACTCCTTTCCAAATTGCAATTAATTCTATAATAATTTTAAGATGTTCATAATATTTTCTTTCAGTAAGTTTTGTTTCTGTCTTTAATATTTTTATTGTCTTTTTTACAATTTCACACCCTTTGGAATTGCAGTGCCTGGCTACCACTGAACTCACATAATTATATTTAATTACTCTCACATGTTCAATAATGTGTATAGCAGCAACAGTAAATAATGATATTTTTAAAAAGCAGTATCTATTGGTGAAACTGGCCATCCATTAGGTGTACGTATTGTTGAACATATGAGAGCAATCAGATATAGTTAGGTTAGTTCTGGTGTTTTTGATTACTCATATTTAATTTTGGGTCCTCCAGAGTGGTAGGTTGCCTTGGCCATCTGTCCAGCTAAATATGGTCTTAGAAAATACACTGCTTGGCAAGTAAAATGCAACACCTGCAATATTTAGAGGCCTACATGGTGTTGCATTTTACTTGGCCAGAAGTATATTACTTTATTACTACTATTATCTTTGTTTACTTAAGAAAATTATACACAAGTTTATTACTGTCTAATCACTTATCACTATGAGAATTGTCATCTTTCTACCTTTTTTGTAGAACAAAAAAAGCAGAAACTTTTATACTTTCATTAAAACAAATGACTTTGTATACATATTTTAGTGCTAATAGGACAAACAAGGATTAACACACAATATTTGCTTTTGCAAATATTGAGTGTTAATCCTTGTTTGTCCTATTAGCATAGTTGACAGCACTACATGTACTTGTAGAATTTAGAAACATTAATAGTCTTAGATGTTGATTTAAATATTCATTTTATTTTGCAAGTAGGGATTTTGAAATAGTAAAGTGTATATGAGCTTTTAAAGTCTTTATCAGAATTTTAAATATATTCTGATAAAGACGTATATTCTGTATGCACTTGCCCTCATATAGATAGCATGTTTGAGCTTTGTTAGGTCTTATCAAATCAATATTTCATCTTTCTTATATCCTGTTCATATCATCTTTAATGTTTCTCTTCTTCTTCAGCTTAGTACCATTCTTATAGGGTTGCTGCTGAAGATCACTTTCTTCCATTTCACTCTGTTTTCTGCCAAGTTACATTTGACTTCCACACTATATCCCAAGCACACTGTCAAACTGTTGTCATCTTGGGCTCTTCATCTTTAATGTTTCAAGATGAAATATTGAAATGATAAGGCCACAAATAGAAATCCCATACATGCTATATCTATGTACTGGTTAAATGTAATGAATTGAAGAGAATTGCATTATTTCCCTCTTTGCAATAGTAATTCTGTTTTTTGAATGATGATGATCACATGTAATGCTGTAGCCAAAATTTCATTTAAAGCATACAAATGTCTTCTACTTTTGCAGTTCATGAATTATTTAAACATTGGTGTAATTGACAAAATTTGTGTGTATTTTAAGTTTAAAACATTGGTTTTCAAACTGGTTTCCATGAAGGATGTTGCAAAGATTTCCTGATTACCACTTTGGTTTAGTGTGTATTGAGTAATTTTACTTAATTTATTGGATGTCAAGTGTTCCATTTATACTTTTTCTTCTTGCTTTGTCTTGAGAAAAGTAAGAGGTTTTTCCTCATGAATTTGATCAGGATTACTGCAATAGGAGTAACTGGATGATGAAGGACAGACCTCCCACGAAGAATTCCAAGATTTGATCCTGAGTTAGAACTCTGAAGTTGTTAGAGGGGATAGCTGACATTTCATCACATTGGTCATCAAGCATTCTAAAGTATGTCAGGATGTCAGCTCAAAACAAACTTGAAAAACCATTGATTTATAAAATAGGGATATAAAAGTATTTTTGATGAAGAAATTTTTATATGTACAATTTTAAATTTGTATTATATTATATATATATTATTGTTACAGTTGATGTTACAAAATTGTGTCATTTTGCTATTACTACAAAATCTGTGTATATTTTATAAATGAAAAATAAATTATTATATGTATTGTTTAGTAATTTATTATTTTACAAATGTTTCAATCATACAAGGATGAATTAAAGTTTAAGGATAGAAACCTGACCACTGCCATTTAGTAGCCATTAGTGTATGTTTTGTACTGTACATGTGAAGGTTCAGCTTGTGTTGTGTCATTGCATAACATAAGTTTAGATATGAAGTCATCTTCCTTATTCTAAACTTAGCAGCAGTCAGTGATTGAAATTTTATAATTGAGAAAGTTGGGTGCTTATTAAAATTTGCAGATTTGCAAATCATTTATAGAAAGGGCAAAAGTATATTTTCAAAGTCTGAAACGACAGTTTTTCATGCATCATCATGATGCAAGATTACACTACAATAAGGGAAACAGAATATGCTTAAGAACTAAACTTATTCCACATCTTCCTTACTGTCCAGATCTGGCACCATAGATCTCTTCCCAAAATTAAAGGTGATGTCAAAAGAATAAATTTATGGATCAAATTTCCCATATAGCTCAAGCTAGAAGAGGTTAGGGACAAACTTTCCTGGCTGCCTGTGTGTATATGTTAGTAGATAAATATAACAAGCACTTCCCTTGAAAACATACAGGATTAAGTTTTGTACCGATACATGGTAACAGAACACGTAAAGTTATGAGCTCTTATCATAGAGACTAGTTTTAATATTATGAACCCACTATGGGACTAGAAAAGCATACTCTACATAACAGGCCTCAGTTTCCTCGTGGAGAGTTATGATCTAATCCGGGGAGGAAAGGACCAATAATATCAAGTGTAACCAACATCTGGATCAAAGGCTGTCTTGGCGGTCTATCAGTAGAATTAGCCAGAAAACGAGGCCCCTGGCCGTCCCTTTGTGGGCTTAGCCGAATCCATAATGGGCTTGCTAAAAGAGGCCCTCTTAATGCCCACAGGACGGAAAGAGTTAAAAGAAAAAAAAGGTTATTAAAAAAATCAACACGATAAATTCAATAAATAATTTGCACGTTGTCCGAAAGATTCTGTATTAATAAAATTTTATACGTATGTATTAATAATAAATATGTAACAAGATTAATATTTAATTTAAAAAAAAAACTTTAACTTTTTTTAAACTGTTTAGAGCAACTGGCAACACTTAAAAGTTTGCTGTTTTGGTAAATTTGTCGTCTGGTTTGTAAGGAAGTGATTATTGTAAATTTAAAAGTTTACAGATGAATTCATTTATATTATGATAAAAATATATTTAAAAAAATGCACAAACATCATAAACATAAAAGTAAATGTAGGCATAGATACGAAGAAGACGATAAATTACAAAATACGTCCAGACATAAGTCAGAAAGTGTGGAAAGCCCTAGAAACAAGTATCAAAAGTCGGAGTGTTACGCCGAATTTGATTGGAGTCGTCACAAATCGACGTTAAATAAAATTTTCTTTAGAGATCAGGATATAATAAAAAGGTATATAATAATGAAATTTGAAGCTGGACATTTGTTGGATCCAACATTGACTTTGCATTGAAATGCATAGAGTTGAGTAGAGAGAGGAGGTAGAGCAGTGGTTGATGATTCCTATTCTAAAAATCAACGTTCCTAATGTCTTGTGAGGATTAAAACAGAAAAAATACAAACTTCTAACCATTTATGTAAGTCGTAAAGGCAGAAGACAGACTATAGCGGCACAAAAGAGAGAAGATGATCTATAGAAGAGCCTTTATTAGAGCATTTTATTTAGTTTGCTGAATGTTAATGAATATGGTTTGTGTCCGATATACGTCTCTGAGTGGCCTCTGCTGTGTTGGTTCTGCGATAGAGGGAGTGGCGATTGGGTCGGTTGTTGCTTGGTGGATGGAGTCGGTCGGATGAAAAGCTTGACAGAAAAGTTATACTCCCATCCAGATTTTCTCTCTTGAGTGGTGTCTGTGATAGGTGGTTGCCTGGTGTAATTAACTGCTTTTTGGCAGCCAGGAAGGGAGCCCAGAAGAATGGTTGTGGGGCTTTGTCTGTCGTAAAAAGCCATGTGACCATTCCCCAGGTTTCATTAGTCGGGGTCTTGGGTGTGTGGTGGTGGGTGGCTCGGCATTTTCCATGCCACTTCTTGCATTTTTGGGCTCAAACACCGGTTGGTTCTTTCTTCCGGATCTGGGACAAGGCCAAAAGGTGTCCTGGGCTCTGGTGTCGACACGATGCAAAGTCAATGTGGGATCTGGCCAATTGGTCTAGTTTCCACAATTTTATCTCTGCCTGAAAACATACAAGGAATATAGGCAACTTTACATAATTGAATAAAATATTGTTTGAAACTTTTTCAGTTCTGATAAATTATTTAAATTTAGTAAGTTTATTTCAGAAGGTTGATAAAAAATTTATCATTCCAAAAATATTAAATTAAATTAAATTTTTAGATTCTTATAAAGTACATATATTTATTTTTGTGAAACTGTAAATTTACATAGACTCAAATCTTTAGCTTCATTTGCATTAATTAATTAAATGTATCTCCTTTTTATTTTTAGAGGCACTGAAGAATATAATGAATTTTGGCCATTTTTAAGAAAATATGAAGCTGTACAAAGAAGAAACTATGAAACAAAGGCTTCTAAAAGTATTAATAAATTATTTTTAATAAATATAATAAATATTAACAGATCCTAACTTTCAGACAATCATTCCTAAAAAATTTGTACAACAGTTGAGCCATAGAGCATTTGCATATTATAAAGGTATTTTCATACCTGAGAACAAAAGAAAAATTATAAAATCTCTTATTAAGATAGGAAAGTTTTATCTTATTATTTTAGATATGTTATGACATAAAACATTATACAAAATGTTAAATTCATAGATTAAACAGGAAATAGACAATAAAAATTAATTTTCATAAATTGATTTGATGTTACTGAAACCAAAACTGGTGCACATCATAACTCAAAATTTTTATTTATAAGCTGAAAATGTATAAAAGGTCAGAATTTGGCATAAGAAATGTAATGTAAAGGTATCAAAGTTTTATATATATGAAAGAGTAATTTGCCTGAAAGTTAAGGGTTGTTTCTATAAGTTAATTTCATTTTCTGTATATTTAAATATAAGATTATGACTTTATGTTAAGAATTATAAATAAAACTTAAAAATAAATGTTTATAAATATAGTTCTTATGATTATTATACAGTTTTATACCTTTTTTTATATAAATAATATATAAATTATTGAAATTTTCTAACAGATTTTGAAAGTGGAAAAAATTCAGACTCCCAGGAAAGATATGATGGACAACGTAAAATTAATTTCAAATTTAATACCGAAGATGTAGATGAATTAATGACACGAGGATTTCTGTTTAAGGATGATGAAGATGAGAATCAAATTTCTAAAGAAAAAATATTGGAATTTCAGCATATCCTTTTATTATATATAAACTTTTTACAAAAACAAAAATTTAATAAATTGCAGAAATTACGAGAATCACAAGCAAATCTTCCAATTGCAAATCACAGAAAGGATATTTTAGATGCAGTTTCTAAGAATCAAGTAGTATTAATAGCAGGTGATACAGGCTGTGGCAAATCTACTCAAATTCCTCAATATTTATTATCTGCTGGTTATAAGAACATTTGTTGCACGCAGCCAAGGAGGATAGCTTGTATATCTCTTTGTAAAAGAGTTTCGTATGAAACTTTAGATGAATATGGTTCAGAAGTTGGATATCAAATCAGATTTGAAAAGGACAAAACACAATTTACAAGAATTCTATTTTTGACAGAAGGGTTATTACTTCGTCAAGTAGCAACTGATTCATTATTGTCTTCATATGATGTAATAATTTTAGATGAAGTTCACGAGCGACATTTATCATGTGATTTTCTTATTGGCATAGTTAAATGTCTTACTTATCAACGTCCTAAAGTAAAGATTATTTTTATGTCTGCTACTATAAATATTCAACTGTTTGCTAATTATTTCAAAAATTGCCCTGTTATACAAGTAAGTTTTTGTTTTTAAAAGTATCCAAAATATTTTTATATATAATATATTTGATATATACATATTAAAATTTGTTTAATTATATTTAGTATTGTAATAAATAGTTTAATAATTAAGAATCCATGTTAAAAA